TTTTAAACTCCTACATAGAACTTTATAACTCCTACGTAGGACTTTATAACTTCTACGTAGGACTTTGGCCTATGTAGGACTTTGTAACTCCCACGTAGGAGATAAAAAGCCTATAGCCTAATTAGGAGTGAATAACTCCTACGTAGGACTTTTAAACTCCTACGTAGGACTTTTAAACTCCTAATAGGTTTTTTTATCTCCTACGTCGGAGTTATAAAGTGTAGGACTTATAAAGTCCTACGTAAGAGTTATAAACTCCTAATTAGGCTTTTTAAACTCCTACGTAGGACTGCAAAAACTCCTAATTAGGTTTTTATTTCTCCTACGTAGGAGTTTTAGAGTCCTACGTAGGAGTTACAAAGTCCTACGTAGGAGTTTTCTTTTTTTATAGAACATGTTAAATTGGCACAAGGACGCTTCCGTAATAATGTGTTTCTACGTTTACATCTAAAACGCTGCGTGATATCTTTTTATAACCAGACAAAAAAATTTTAATAGACCTATAAAGAGCCCAACTGAGGTCCAAAAGCCCCCCAAAAAACAACAAAAATAAAATAAAAATATTTTAACATATATCAACAAACGAAAAATTAAGGATTGATAGTCCGATTTGAGTTAAATGCGTTTTAACGCTTTTCATTTTTTTAAATCATCAACGGAGTCCCTTTAGACAAAACATGCTATGAATGAAGCTTCAGACCTCATAAAACGGGATACAAATAATTAATTAAAAATGTTCGGTCAGTCGCTAGCCGCTAGCACTATATCTGTTCGTCAATTTACTTCAACAATTTAAGACCTTTCGTTACGGGAACAGGAACGTACATAAATGTATTTCTTTGATATATCTCCCTGATGAAACACCCCAACGCATATCTTGGTTTTTTTAACGCAGAAATGGTAGAAATGAAGGTGAACTGATATACATGTATATAGAAAAGCAGTTTGATAATTGGTTAGATTATCATAAATTCTAAATTTGTAAAATTATCCTTAATTATAGATTTGTATATATTTGTACATTTAAAGAACTACTTTTACTGAAAATCGTCACATTTGAAATAAGATCTAATGTTTATTTTATTTTCAATCTTATCATTTAAAGCAGTATGCCTATAGAATCATGCTAATTATCATGATTTTTTAAAAATGTATTCTAAAAAATCAGATGAACAAAAAAAAGTCATTAACACGTTGCAAAAGGCACATAAAATCTACGACAATTACTAATAAATAGCTCAGAATATTCACAAGTAGCCCTTACAATGTTAGTCACGCAGTAAAGATATGGTGACAAAATACTGTAAAACAGTCATTAATTGCATATACCGGAGACATGTAAATTATTTCTTGGATTGTGAATTTTTTTACATAGCTTATTATCTTAGTACATGATTTTCTTCAAATATGTTGGCTCATCTGGAGGCATGCAGCTTTAAAGATCCATACATGCTTTGCCACTGCAATGTCACCGACATTTGTGACCATATTTGGAGAATCTGGCCTGGAGTTATTACCGAGAATTGACCGTTCCTTGAAAACTAAGTGCAGACGAACCTTATATCATATTTCTTTTTACCTAATGGCAAAGGACACTGAACTTGCACAAATTAGTGAAAGTAACAGTTTGTTGTTGTTGTTTTTGTTGTTGTTTTTGTGGATTGTCCGCAATCATATTTTCCCGCAGAATGATACTAGTATTCGGAAGATAAATTTCCGGAATCCGGGATCAATATGGAAAATTGAACGCTTATAGACTTGGTTAAGCAGGTCGCCCTCAGACGCAGCCCTTTTAAATGCACATTATTTCTCAGAAACGAATAAATCTTTCCTTCTTTAGAAAAGGCAGACATGAGTCTTATGATGTTAAAGTAATGGTTTTAGAGCATTTCAGATGCTTATAACCTAAGATGAGTAGCATTGAATGTGAAATTATTGATTGAAAAAGAAGCAAGATATAAACAAATCAGTATCTTGACTTTCATAAAATGGTTAATCATCATACTGGTTTTAATTGCCAGAAAACAATAGAAGCAGAAGATAGTTCATGTAACTGGCCACTGTGTAACTTGTTTTGAAAACATAACAGTATATCAAAAATAAAAAGCTGCTTTTGAAGGATGAAAAGGAATGCGTTTCTGAGGAATAATGGGCCTTTGGGTGCATGGTGAATTTCAAATAAAACCCTTGGATAGTAAATAGTTGCCATCAAGTAAACAAGTAAAGATTTGGCTACAATATTACTCTGTTTAGAAGCAATATATTGATAACATCTTTCACAATTGTTTTTTCCCCTCTCTCCTTATTTTTACACCAAAGAATGTTAAATGTTTTTGAATATACTTCAAATTTCCCTTTTTTTTCCTTCTTTTTTTTTTACTCCAAATAATGTTAAAATGTCTTTGAATATACTTTAAATTTTCAGTTCCTTTTTCTGAAATACTCTTTCTTTATTCGAAATGAATGAATATTATGGTAAAATATGGAGTGAATGGGTGTTTTCATACTTTGTGGTGTTTTTGTTTTTGAAAATATAGGTATGAGTCTATGAATTGTATGTTAATGTGTATTGTTATACTTCAAATATCAAATAAATGAAAAAAAAACATCTTTCACAATCGTCTAACTTTTATTTACTTTATCACTTAATATCTTGAATATACTTGTCGACGTTTCTGTCTCCATTTTTAGGGAAAATTTAAAAATATGAATAGCGAAGATTGCAGACCATGATCAGAAGAAAGTGATATGCCGGCTGCTGTTGGTCTACACTGGTTGCCAGGGTAGAATTTTCATTAGACAAGGGGTGAACAATTCTATACTCTTTCATTGACACAATCAACTCTACATGTCATGTAAGCAAGCATTTGTCATTTTCATAGCAGATTATCTGAATCACACGTGCCTTAAATTTGAGATAAGTCCTGAATAGTGAAATTCTTTGTAACAGACAGTACATAAAAAGCAAATGAGCCGCGCCATGACAAAACCAACATAATGGGTTTGCGACCAGCATGGATCCAGACCAGCCTGCGCATCCGCGCAGTCTGATCAGGATACATGATGTTCGCTTACAAACCTTTTACAAGTAGAGAAACTGATAGCGAACAGCATGGATCCTGATCAGACTGCGCGGTAGCGTAGGCTGGTCTGGATCCATGCTGGTCGCAAACCCATTATGTTGGTTCTGTCGTGACGCGACTCAAGTCATTTTGTACACCGATCCCTTCTTAAGAAGATGACTGGCATGATTTTCATTCTTGAGTTTATTTTTGACGTTGGTTATCACCTCTCTCATCCCTTTAACTAAAATAGGATTAAATGTAGTTCTTTTTGCGTTTTGTTCTTTAAAAAGATATACGTCCACTGCTAAGTTAATTTTGGATATTCCATGTGAAAAACAACAAAATAACAAAACAACAACAAGAAAAGCATGAAAAAATCAGCCTCTGGTATTTTAATTCTCATTCATATACGATTTAAGATACTTTTGTGTAAAAAAAAGACTTAGCTAAATTCATATGTTTGATGATGCACGTGCATGTATTCTTTTTCTTGCCAACTATTACATTGGTGATTCATTAGATTTGCGTGTATAAAACTTACTTCACTCCATTTCTGAAACGTCAAATCTATATAGACGCAACGAGGGGTGGCTCATTCAACCCGTGGCTCATTCAGCTCCGATCTCCCTTATAGACTAAGGCCTGGAAACAATATTTACCATATATATTTTGGAGTTATAAGAATTTCAATAATATGCCTTTCAATAAGGTCATCTAAGAAAAAATAGATCTATATTTTACAAGCACCGAAAATTGTCAATGCAAATATAACATAAGTCTGACATACAATTGTACATTTGGGAACTGTTCCCGTGTAACATCTATGGGACTATATTCTCATGGTTTCAAATGCTTTAAAAAAAACCTTATTATTTTATTATTTAAAAACTGAATTCATAACATATTAAATTCTTGGGTTTGCATTATCTGCAGATGTAATTTCCTTTGGGTTTCTTTCTGTCAAAACATGTTATAGTTTTTCTTGAAATACAGTATGCTCATGTATGCTGGGTGTGTTCTTGGAGACATCTACAAAAAAAGAAGGAATAAAGGAATTTTCTGATTTAAGTCATCGTAAATGTGAAAATAAAAAAGTATCGTTTAGTATATGCGTGCGTGCGTGCGTGCGTGCGTGTGTGTGTGTGTGAACTAAGTTTAATAAGGGTCCATCCCCCCCTTTCAGGCACTGAGAGTGCGGAACCCGGACATGTCACCAATCATGTCCTTTTAAAAAAATGTTATTATCAACCAAAAGGTGACCTTCAGTAATTCACCGAATGATACTAAATGTATATGCAAGTCGATTTTTGTGATGATACTATTTTGATGTTTGGTATTTTGTAGTATTGAATAGTATTGCCAAATGGTGACCTATTAATTTTGATTCCACTAATTCACTGAATAGGTCTAAATATATGTATTTTTCTTTTCTATTGGATGAACAATACATATGACTAAGTGATGCAAGCTAGGGAGGCCAATGAGACCATTAATAATGAATGTAAAATGTTGATGAAGTTACCAAAATAAAAAAAAACTAAGTGTACCGGACTCTGTAAGTTCATATCGGACTATCATGCTAGATTTTTTTTAACTCAACAATAACTGAAAAGGATAAAGAAGCTACTAGTACAACTAAAAAAAAGTATTATTAACCATGAGCAGAAACCATGCTTTCCCTGAATCACGGATTTATATTACATTTATATTACATAAATCCGTGCCTGAATGGAAACAAACAAAACAAAACTATTTAAAACAAAACTATTCATAAACTTGCACAATTAGGACATGCTTTTCCTGAGAGGAACACAATAAAAAAACATTAGAATATTCCTGTGTTCTTGTACATACTGTATACCATAAATAAAGCTGCCCGAGACAGCGCAAGTTACAGAACATAGCAAAACCTTGTCGACAGTGACTCACACGTGTCGTTCCGTATTACTGAACGGGTTTTATTATCGCCAAGGCAGAAATTTGTCCGAAGTCGAGTTTTCGAAGTTTGGACAAAACTTTCCCGAGGACGTACGAAAGAAACGGTTTTAAAAAGCTTGTAATGTGTAAATAATTTTGATTGGAAGCAAGACAGTGATTGTATCTGTTACAGCGTGCCATTAAACTACGGTAAGTTTTGTTCATTGATGAAAGTAAAAAAGTAGGTCAGATTGTTGTTACTTTATTAAGAAAAATAAAGTTTGATTACAATGTAACAAAAAGCAAGTTTACAATGATAGATGATTAACATTTATATAATTGTTGTTTTTATTAATATATCGACATGTCAAATACTGAAAGACGTGTCAAACTTTAGAACTATCTTCTTGCATCGTCAACAGTCGATGAACTTAGATGTGCGATTCGGTTTACCGGCCGCGCACATTTTATATAATTTTTCTGTATTTTCAGAATGATGGATAGCGAATTGATGCATGCAGACTTTTGCATTGATACTGAAGAATTCTTTGGAAGTGAACGGAAACAGTTGACAACTAACAGAAAGTGTAGACCTCCACTTCAAATTCGTAAAACTGTATGTATCCATGCGCCAATTGTAAACCCATTGATAAAATTAATTGGGGCTCATCAAAGGGAAATTGAAGGCCTTTAATTAAGAAGATAACATTTATGATCTTTGTGCCATTTTATGGCCAAAACCATGAACAAGACTTCTATGTTTGTTTCAGAAGTAAAACTTGTATATTATATACACTAATGAAAATGAAATGGAAATTTGAACATATATCAATGCTTAATACAACTTGATGCTGTAAATTAAAAGAATCCGGGTCAGCTCGGCCCTAAAACGTACTCGGCCCCCGAGTCAGCTCGGCCCTATTCTAACTCGGCACGGGTCAACTCGGCCCACTTTTTAATTATTAATATTTAGGTTTGTGTCATCACTTTTTATTGTTATTATTGTAATTATTTATAAAACATGGATTGACAGTTTCAGAACTAGCAGCAGACAGGCTTTTCTTATCAGTAGAATTGCGAGTAAAGATAACTGATTGCGTATCTCACTGTATTTCTGACTCGTGGTAGGTTTAACCGTAAATTTAAATACCTTTAGTGTCAAACAATGTGTTGAAATACTGAGAGGAAGCTAAGATCAGCAGCTTTTAATTGGTGTAACAAATTTTAAAATCGGACATTAAATCGCCCCAAACTAGCGATTTAAACACGGCTAAATTTGCATTCTTTTGCAAGCGGGAAACAAGTCTTGCCTTTTCACTCAATATACCTCGGTTATTTACGTAGTTCGACAGAGAGAGTTTATAAATATAAGACAAATAAATAACAATTTTTTTTCTAAATATACTTTATTTCGGCAGAAGTACAATGTATAACTATATAATAATAAGATATTTCTTATTATTCATTTACCTTAACAACATGCAAAGCAAAGTTAATACGTTATATATTTTTTGTAAAGTGGGCCGAGTTGACCCGTGCCGAGTTGACCCGTGCCGAGTTGGTATAGGGCCGAGTTGACTCTTTTCCAATTAAAATGAACAAAATTGGTTAAATATTGACACAATTACATGTACAGTTCCTAAGTGTAACACACATAGTATTATGCTCTTTCAAACATTGACTAAATTTGTGTGAAATTAGAGGTTGCTATGACATAAAATTTGTCTACACTAGAATCCCCACCTTAAAAATGCTGAACATTTTATCGGAAACAGTAGATATTTGTTTAAATATCTTGCAGGTTGCCAGGGTTATGTTATTTCAACTTGCTCTAAATGGTGTCCTGAACTTTTTTCAGAGTGATTGAGGTCTGAGGGCTTAAATGGTCATTCTTATAGACACACCATTGCATTCTTCCAATAAGTGACTTTATCACACACCTGTGCTGATATTGCTACTCCGTAAAAATGGTATTGCACGGCCGGCCGTGCATATATTTTGACGTGACGTCATTAACGTTATACAGACACAGTGTTAAGACGCGCTAAATATTAGCGTTATACTATAAGCGTGTCTATGAAAAATTACTCTTTTCACTTTTAACGCTCTTTATTTTGGGAATGTGATAAATAGAATATTAAATTCGTGTAAATCCATTTCTGAATTAATTGAACTCATTGAATAAATTAACTTTATGCTCCTCAGAGGCTCGCATAATATAATTTTATTCAACTTGTGCAATAAATTCAGTATTGAACTTACACTTATTCAATATCCTCTATGTATTTATCTGTGACACTGGGCACCATCATCTGGGTATTATTACTTGTTGCTGTAGTCTAACAATGTGGGGGCATCCATGGCCGAGTGGTTAAGGTTGTCAACTTCAAACAACTTGCCCCTCACTGCTGTGGATCATGATCAACACAGCGTCAAATTACCATCATGGAACTTGACAGTGAATACCACAGAAGTCTTCATGCAACCTTCTATGGCTTTAGACAATCACTTTAAAAATGATTTAACATGATTTTGGTTTCAGTAGTGATGTTACATTGTATCGCATGAATGATACAGTAGCATAGTTGGAAAAAAAAGTATGAAAAGTATACAGTGTATTTTGTGAAGGCTAATTTAGTTGGCAGACCCCATTTTCTGTGAGAATTAAGGTATAGTATGCCAATAAATGTTTGGTAGATTTTGATAAAAACTGTACAGCAGTGATCATTAGGTTGTCTTAAATGGTTCAGGTCTATTGAACAAAATTGCAGCCACAGGCAACTAGAGCTGTCATCAATAGAAATAGAAATTATCAAAGCATGGTTGATATATATTTTTGCTGATCAATAATCGATACACATTTGAAAAAAAATGACAATTTTGACAAATTAGTTAAATATATAGACATTATTCAAATTCACCCAAAACAATTCACTGAAAATCATTTAAAAAGGTATAAAAGTGAGTTAAAGACAAGTAATTATTTTAAGTAATTAGTGATATATTGGTGTATAATTGATAAATCATCAATATTCTTTGTGCTGAATAAATGACAGCTCTAGCCAGAGCTGAAAAATAGTATAATTCTTTAAATGACAATTTCTCCTTTGGTGCTTGTTAGATTTTAATGAAACTCTACAGAAATGAGTGTTCAAAGTTGTCCTTAACATAAATTGCTTAAATTATTTATACCCCGGTCACATATTCACGGAATACGCCCACGGAAGAGCCACGGATTAATTCCGGCATCATCCGTAGCTACCCGTACTGGTCAGTAGCTCTCCATATTGTAACCGTAATCAATCGTAGTAGTCCTTGTATATCCGTAGCGATCCTTGACAATTTTTGAACATGCACAAAAATTTGCTACGGAAAAATCAACCGTAGTGTATCCCTACTAGTCTGTATTAATCCGTACTGATACGTACTGGTCCGTACGAAAACCGTTCTAGTCCGTACTGATTCGTAGTCCACCAACTTGTCAAGGATTTCCACGGTTTTGTACGGAGAACTACGTATTTGTACGGTTACCCTACGTATAAGCTACAGTTTTAATACAGATTAATACGGCATTGTCACGGAAAGCCACGATCGTAATACGTTGTACTATGGAGAGGCAAGGATTAGCACGGTCTTATACGGTTTATTGCGTTGCAACACGAAATGGTACGGAATGGTACAGTCCACCACTGTATTAAGTATCATGTACTTTTTCAAGGGTATAAATACTACCTTCTTGTTAAAAACAGATATATTTGCGGAAACATGATAATTGATAATTGCCATTTACTGGCTGCAACTTTATATTGAAATGGCTCAGAATGCGGAGGCAGTGGTCGAGCTGCTTGATGACATAGAAGTAAATTTATATTACTATCGTACTACAATTCATAAGTAATAGAATAACATTTAATGTTACATATTTTACAAACATTGGATCGTGAAATGGGAGTAAATATGTACATAAAACATAAGCCTCGGTGGCTGGCCTTTGAGTGATAATAAGATTAATTAACAAGCTTTTTACATATATTTTTAAAACATAAACATCACAATAATTAATGTAATTGTAAGAGAACAGCAAATCTTAACATTAAAAGAAAGGCAGTATTGATCAACATTTTTCATTAATGATTACTAGTCCATATCTAATCAAGTAAGAGAAGACAGACGAGATGGTGGACTAGAGATGGGCTTTTACGAAGACCGCTTCAAGTTTAGTATGAGGCTCTCATGGTCGAACTTGTTGAGGATTCAGCGTCCTTCAAGAAATTCACTTTAATCGGACCTGATGTGCCTCGGGGGTCGGACGCGATTAGGCCGAGTCCTCTCCGCCAAAATCATTGAACTCTGCAATTCGTTTTCTAGGTGTTCTTTTCTTTTGAGGCATTTTGAAAATGAGCAAGCAAGAGGTTGTGGACGGATGTATTAGATCCGTGGCAATTCGTTCTTCTCCGTATCAATACGTTCTTCTCCGTATCAGACCGTACTTATTCGTACTAACCCGTGCTTATACCGTATCAGACCGTAGTGTATCCGTAGTGCGTCCGTCCTGATTCGTGTCGCTCCCTATCAAACCGTGTCGGTCCGTAACAATCTGTGACTTTCCGGGGGCTTTTGGTAGTAATTCCGTCGGACTCCGTACTCATACCGTTGTGTGTCCGTACTGGAACCGTTCCGGACTACGAAATTTCACCTTTCCGTAGTAATCCGTGAACGATTAGACCGTAGCTCTTCCGTGGCATTATCCGTGAATATGTGACCGGGGCATTAGGTTTGTTACCAGATCACATCTCCTGAACCACTTTGTAGATATCTTAGTACATGAAAGGGCGGATGGACTCTCATTAAGCCTGAATAAACAAACTCACACTCAGTAGATTTTGATGAAACTATCGCAATGAAAAAAAAATGTAAAATGTTTTTGGTCTGCTCAACAAGGAATGTCCATACCCTCTGCTGAGCAATTTAGGACCATTTTAATTTTTCAAACAAATTTTGCAAATTATCAAACAACCCTCATACATCATTTTTTGTTACTCTGCCAATATTGGGATATGACAGGGCTTATTTGGTTGGCCATATTTCATTATTTGCAGAATTTACATTTTTGTAGTCATATGCTCAAAAACTTTGATGTCACATTAATTTGATGATGTGCAGGGAAATTGCCGAGGATTTGTTAAAATCACAGTGCCAGGGCTTTTACCTGTGATTTTAACCATGTTACTGCACCCAAATGGTGAGGAGACACGGCTTTTGTCACTCTATGCTCTTTTCTTAAGGATAAAAGAGATGTGCTGGTTCCAATTTACTACAGCATAAAATTAACTATGGAATTTAAGAATTAAGGAACCAGTCTTTGTCACAAATATTGCTGACACAGGTTTTTTTTAAAGTAAACAGTACACATAATTACATTTGTACCATAACTTTATTTATTCTTCTATATACATTATGGTAACCTCAAACAAGCAATAGAGGAACGTTTAAGGTCATAGAACCTGGTAAAGATTTAACTTTTATGTATACCATTAAGTGAGGTTGTAACTTATGTTATAAAGATGTTTGTATATGTATAACAGGAATAACACTGTGTTATGTCTTTCTATTTTC